TATTTCCCATTTTTCCTTTTCTTTTAGTTTTTCTGTTCTTTTTTTTCTTTCTCTTGTCTTCTTTTCTTTCTTCATCATTCCTTTCTTTCTTTTCCTCCTCTTCTTCATCTCCCTTCCTTTCTTTCACCATCCGTTCTATCTCTCTTGCATTAATTCTCCCATTTCATTCCTTTTTTTTTCTTTTACTTCTTCTTTCTTTGCCAAATTACACCAACATTTAGTCAGTGTACGGTTAAAATATTCATATATGCTGGTCCACCTTTATGCAACCTCGTATTACCATATACCCAGCGGCATAGGGCATCAGAACGTATTATATGGCATAGATTCTTTAAAGCATAGAGAAATATATGCTGCTGAATTCGTAATTTATTTATTTTTATTTTATTTTTTTTTTGTTATTCTTGGAAATTTTAGTTATACTCATAGATTTTTTTTCCATGTGTGAGTCTATATGTTAGGTTTTGTGTGCTTTATATAATGGTTATACTTGTGGGTATTTTTCTTCATTCTTTCTCTCTCTCTCTCTCTACTCATTTTCTCTTCTCTCAAACTCTTTCTTCTCATTTCTCTGCTGTCTTCTCATTCTCTCTCCTCTCTCTCTCTCTCTCTCTCTCTTAACTCTCTCTCTCTCTTCTCTCTCTCTCTCTCTCTCTCTCTTCTCTCTCTCTCTCTCTCTCTCTCTCTCTCTCTCTCTCGCCTCTCTCTCTCTTCTCTCTCTCTCTCTCTCTCTCTCTCTCTCTCTCTCTCTCTCTCTCTCACTCTCTCTCGATCTCTCTCTCTCTAGCTCTCTCGGTCTTCTCAACTCTCTCGTCTTTCTCGTCGGCCTCTGTCTCTTCCTCTCTCTCTCTCTCTCTCTCTCCCTTTCTGTCATTATGCAGAATTATTACACACAGCAGTAACAAATGTGCAGTAACGTTATAACCTATATCCCTGCATGCCTAATATCCAAGATTATTACAAACAGAATATTACCGAAATTCTATTGTTAGTCTCTCTGAACCACGTACCCCAACCCCCCCCAAAAAAAAAAAAAAAAAAAAATCAGACACTACCAACCAAATACCTGGTCCCCTACTCTCAAAAGATTACTCTACCGATACCACGTTAGCGCTAATACCGAAGGAGCTGTACGGTATCCGATACCATCTTCATCCGGGTAATGTACCTTGCGTTGCATGATGGCAAGCTCTGCAATAGCACGGTGCTGGAGTTCCTTAGATGGGCAGCACCGGAGGGGGCGCTTGTGCAACTACTAATATATGTATAGATGAGAATGGGTGTGTTTTTATGTATGTGTATGTTTTGTTTTGTGTGTGTGTGTGTGTGTGTGTGTTTGTTTGTCGTGTTGCGTGTGTTTGTTTGTTTGTGTGTGCGTGTGTGTACTAAAATATGTATAGATGAGAATGGGTGTGTTTTTATGTTGTATGTGTATGTGTATGTTTTTTGTGTATGTGTGTGTGTGTTTTGTTTGTGTGTGCGTGTGTGTACTAAAATATGTGTAAGAGAATGGGTGTGTTTTTATGTATGTGTTTGTGTTTGTTTGTGTATATGTGTTGTGTATGTGTGTGTGTGTGTGTACTAATATATGTATAGATGAGAATGGGTGTGTTTTTATGTATGTGTATGTGTTTGTGTATGTGTGCGTGTGTGCGTGTGTTTGCGGTTGTGCGTGTGTGTTACTAAAATATGTATAGATAAGAATGGTGTGTTTTTATGTTGTGTATGTGTTTGTGTGTGTGTGTTTGTGTGTATGTATGTATGAGAATGGTGTGTTTATGTATGTGTATGTGTTTGTGTGTATGGTGTGTTTGTGTGACTAAAATATGTATATGAGAATGTGTGTGTTTATTTATGTATGTGTTTGTGTGTGTGTTGGTGTGTTGTGCTGTGGTGTGTGTGTACTAAAATATGTAAATGAGAATGGGTGTGTTTTTATGTGTATGTTGTGTTTGTTTTGTGTGTGTGTTGTGTTTGTGTGTTGTGTGATAAAATATGATAATGAGATGTGTGATGTATGTGGTGTATGTGTAGTGTGTGTGTGTGGTGTATAATTGTATAGATGAGAATGGTGTGTTTTTATGTGTGTGCTTTGTTGTTGTGTGTGTGTTTGTGTTGTGTCGTGTGTGTATTAAAATATGTTTGTAGATGAGAATGGTGTGTTTTATGTATATGTATGTGTTTGTGTATGTGTGTGCGTGTGTGTGCTAAAATATGTATAGAGGAGAATGGATGTTTTATGTGTATTATGTTTGTGTGTTTTGTGTTTGCGTATGCGTGTGTGTGCTTAAATATGTATTAGATGAGAATGGGTGTGTTTATATGTTTATGTATGTGTTGTGTTTTGTGAATGTTTGTGTTTGCGTGTATAGATGAGAATGGGTGTTTTTATGTATGTGTTTGTGTCTGTGTGTACTAAAATATGTATAGATGAGAATGGGTGTGTTTATATGTTTATGTATGTGTTTGTGTTTGCGCGTGTGTGTATTCATACCCGTTTTATATGTATATCTAATCTAATTATCATTCATGGTGAGAAATCTTGACTATTAAGAAGCACAAGAACATGTTTATTCATTATTGAGATTCAGACAAGAATATGACTAATTATATGCTAATTGACTTTCGAGATTCTCTTATTGGAATTTATGATGTTTTTATCACTCTTAAATATTTAAATTTTAAAATTCAAAAGATAAAATAAAATAAAAAAAAAATCATAAAATTAAAAAAAATCGATTTGAGAGAATTGAATCTTTCTTTTCGTCTATAAATAACATACAAGGAGTAAGTCAGTGTTTTTTTAATTGTTTTATGTTGTTATTTTTTGTTTTTTATGGATGTATTTTGTTTTGGTTTGAATACTTATTCTATCGTGTTATTTTTTGTTTTTATTGTTGTATTTTGTTTTTGTTTGAATACTTATTCTATTGTTATTTTTTGTTTTTATTGTTGTATTTTGTTTTCGTGTGAATACTTATTTTCAATTCTATTTATATTATTTTTTCATATATAGGAGGTATGACTATTCTAGCTGAATTGTATTGTAAAAATAAGAATTTTTTTTTTTTACTTAAAAAGCGACATTCTTCTTTAAAAGCTGTATGTATGTATGTAAGTATGTAAGCAGGTAGATACGTAGTTATGCATACACTTACATGTGTACGTATTTATTTTAAAGAGAGATAGATATTATCTTTTTCTCTCTGTTCTTCCATGATAAAAAAACAAACGAAAGATGTATTTTTTGGTGGTGTCCGTCTATGTCTGTTTTTTTTGTGCTTATTTTTTCCGTGTGTGAGAAAGAGAGAGACAGAGAATGTGTGTCTGTATGAGAGAGAGAGAGAGAAGAGAGAAGAGAGAGAGGAGAGAGAGAGAGAGAGAGAGAGAGAGAGAGAGAGAGAGAGAGAGAGAGAGAGAGAGAGAGAGAGAGTACGTGTGCGTGTGTGAGAGAGAGAGAGAGAGAGTGTGTATGTGTATGTGTTTGTGTGTATGAGAGAGAGTGTGTGTGCATGTGTGCGCATGTGTGTGTTACGTACGTGTGTGTGTGTGTTTGTGGGAATTTTGGTATTTAAGAAATCGCTAAATACTTTAACCAAGAATACGTCTGAGCTTCGTGTATCGTTTATTTCCGGTTTATTCGAATCCATTCCAATGTTGTTTTTTTATGTCATCTGACACTGTTGTTAGCATAGCCTGTTTCATGCAATCTAAAGTCTGTCATTTTTTTGCTTTTCTTTAATATTTCTCTTTCTTCTTCTTCTATCTCTTATTTCCTCTTTCCTTCCTTCTCCTCGTCTCCTTTCACTCTTTTTCGTTATCCGCCAACTTCCTACTCTTCCTCCTCTTCCTCCTCTTCCTCTTCTTCCTCCTCCTTCCTTCCTCCTCATCCTCCTCCCTCTTCATAGCCCTCTCCTTCTTCTTCATCTCGATAAATACAAAAAATAAGATGATAAAACTAAACAGAATAACAAATATAATACAAGAAAAACATAAGATATCAATAGATATCCATGAAACAAATCAGTAAGTAAATACATAGTCGAATAAACACATGAATGCATGAATAAGTAAATAAAACACCAATAAATCAATAACGTAAGCGATAGATAAATAAATAAGATGCATCAGTAAATAAATAAATCAATAAATCGTGTTTTTTTTTTACAAATGGTGAGCCCCGAAACGGAAGCAACTCGAACACCGTTTCGGAGCCCCGTTCGAACGCTGACTCACCCCCTGGGACGAGCGAGGGAGGATCCGGCCAGACAGGACCGCCCACCGTTATGTCGGGGGGGGGCAAGGAACGAAGCCGAAGCGTGGTCTGAAATCTGGAGGGGATATATCTCCTATTTGGTCACCGGATATCTGAAAGAGACGACGGCTAAAAGGACTTGATTAGTTGGTGGAAAATGGCGGCCGAGTGAAATCTTTCTCGTCGACACCTATCTATAAGGTTGGGAGAAAATAAAAATGTTTCTGAGGCCGTAGGTGAAATATTGGATATTTTCTGCACCGCGAGACAGACGGTGTAACATGTCGGTATTGTTTACAAAATGGTATAGAAATGTCTTTATGTGTATGTTTGTGTGCACTCCTAACAATTTTGTGAATATATCCCTAACGGTCATGAATTGTAATAATACTTTTTGATAACTGCACATTCTATTTCTTCTCTTCTTCTTCTTCTTCTCTTTCTTCTTCTTTTTCTTCTTCTCTTTTCTTTTTTTCTGGGAGTCAAAATATTTTATTTGCTCAATATAGGCATATTGGCTAGAACGGCTGCCGTCTTGAGAAAGCATAGATTATGCTGCTGTAAGATTTCTTCAAAGCATAGAGAACCACATAGAATCCATAACCTATTCTTGAATTCTCAAACATAGAGAGATTCTTATCTTCAAAGCATCAATGCTACTGATTCCATCTATTTCTTGAGATTCTTCCAAGCATAGAGATACCACATATGCTGCTGAATTCCATAACCTATTTCTTGAGATTCTTCAAGCATAGAGACATATGCTGCCGAATCCATAACCTATTTCTTGAGATTCTTCAAAGCATAGAGAACCACATATGCTGCTGATTCCATAACCTATTTCTTGAGATTCTTCAAAGCATAGAGAACCACATATGCTGCCGAATCCATAACCTATTTCTTGAGATTCTTCAAAGCATAGAGAAACCACATATGCGCCGATTTCATAACCTATTTTTGAGATTCTTCAAAAGCATAGAGAACCACATATGCTACCGAATCCATAACCTATTTCTTGAGATTCTTCAAAGCATAGAGAACCACATATGCTGCCGAATCCATAACCTATTTCTTGAGATTCTTCAAAGCATAGAGAACCACATATGCTGCTGAATCCATAACCTATTTCTTGAGATTCTTCAAAGCATAGAGAACGCCACATAATCCATAACCTATTTCTTGAGATTCTTCAAGCATAAGAACCACATATGCTGCGATCCATAACCTAATTTCTTGAGATTCTTCAAAGCATAGAGAACCACATATGCTGCCGATTCCATAACCTATTTCTTGAGATTCTTCAAAGCATAGAGAACCACATATGCTGCCGAATTCCATAACCTATTTTTGAGATTCTTCAAAGCATAGAGAACCACATATGCTGCCGATTCCATAACCTATTTCTTGATTCTTCAAAGCATAGAGAACCACATATTGCTGCCGATTCCATAACCTATTTCTTGAGATTCTTCAAAGCATAGAGAACCACATATGCTACCGAATCCATAACCTATTTCTTGAGATTCTTCAAAGCATAGAGAACCACATATGCTGCTGTTCCATAACCTATTTCTTGAGGATTCTTCAAAGCAGAGAACACATATGCTGCCGATTCCATAACCTATTTCTTGAGATTCTTCAAAGCATAGAGAACCACATATGCTGCTGATTCCATAACCCTATTCTTGAGATTCTTCAAAGCATAGAGAACCACATATGCTGCTGATTCCATAACCTATTTCTTGAGATTCTTCAAAGCATAGAGAACCACATATGCTGCCGATTCCATAACCTATTTCTTGAGATTCTTCAAAGCATAGAGAACCACATATGCTGCTGAATCCATAACCTATTTCTTGAGATTCTTCAAAGCATAGAGAACCACATATGCTGCCGAATCCATAACCTATTCTTGAGATTCTTCAAAGCATAGAGAACCACATATGCTGCCGATTCCATAACCTATTTCTTGAGATTCTTCAAAGCATAGAGAACGCCACATATATGCTGCCGAATCCATAACCTATTTCTTGAGATTCTTCAAAGCATAGAGAACCACATATATGCTGAATCCATAACCTATTTCTTGAGATTCTTCAAAGCATAGAGAAACATAGCTATGAGATTCTTCAAAGCATAGAGAACCACATATGCTACCGAATCCATAACCTATTTCTTGAGATTCTTCAAAGCATAGAGAACCACATATGCTGCCGATTCCATAACCTATTTCTTGAGATTCTTCAAAGCATAGAGAACCACATATGCTACCGAATCCATAACCTATTTCTTGAGATTCTTCAAAGCATAGAGAACCACATATGCTTCCACCTATTTCTTGAGATTCTTCAAAGCATAGAGAACTACATATGCTGCTGAATCCATAACCTATTTCTTGTGTCCTATTTCACTGAAGGTTTCAAAAGTCACGCGAGCCCAAAGTCCGTAGTAATCTCATTCATCTTCTATAGGATCTCACTTTCACTCACACCCAACCATGGGCGGTGTGTGAGTCCCGTTACCATAATGTAAATAGGGTGTGGATAGGATCGATGTCGTATTCGTAATAAAAATAGGTAATCATGTGTGGTTGTGTGTGTGTGTGTGTGTGTGTGTGTTGTGTGTTGTGTGTGTGTGTGTGTGTGTGTGTGTGTGTGTGTGCGCGTGTGTGTGTGTGCGTGTGTGTGTGTGTGTGCGTGTGTGTGTGTGTGTGTGTTGTATATGTTAGGGTGTGGCTTGTATATACGTGTGTGTGTTTATGTTCGTGTATGTGTGTGTGTGTGTTTATGTTCGTGTGTGTGTGTGTGTATTTGTGTTCGTGTGTCTTGTATATAAGTGTGTGTGTGCATGTGCGTGTGTGTTTATGTACGTGTCTGTGTGTACGTATGCGTGTGTGTGTGTATGTATTCGTGTGTGTGTGTACGTATTCGTGTGTGTGTGTTGCAGAAAACTACAACCAAACGCACGTACGCACGAGAGGAATCGCGTACAAGGCCACGGAAGCAATATTTTTTTTCTCTTTCTCTCGCTCATTTTGCGAACATTTCCGGTGACGAGAGGATCGGAAGAGCGAGACGACTTGGAAGGAATTTCCGAGAGTTTACGGAGATATTCGGGCTTCATCCGGGGTCTTTGTTTCTTTCTTACTCACGCTTCACCTTCCTTCTGTCTTTCTGTATCTGTATATGTATGTGCACACACACACACACACACACACACACACACACACACACACACACACACACAACACACACACACACACACACACACACACACACAACACAAATATATATATATATATATATATATATATATATATATATATATATATATATATATATATATATATATATATGTGTGTGTGTGTGTGTGTGTGTGTGTGTGTGTGTGTATGTGTGGCGTGTATGTATATATATAGCCCCTAATCCGTCCATCTTCCCACGTATCCTATCCTATCCACCCATCCATCCATCAACCCTTATGTCTACCCACCCATCCATCCATCCACCCACTCACTCAACCACCCACCCACCCACCATTCATCCATCCATCTACCCACTCACCTATCCACCGACTCATCCATCCACCCACTCATCCATCCATCTACCCACCCACCTATCCACCCAACCATCCATCCATCCACACACCCATCCACCCACTCACCCCCCACTCATCTATCCATCTATCCACCACCCACTCACACACCACCCAACCACTCATCCACCCCACCCACATCCACCCACCCACCATCCATCCACCCACATATCATCCATCCATCCACTCACCCACCCATCCATATCCATCCATCCATCCATCCATCCATCCATCCATCCATCCATCCATCCATCCATCCACCCACTCACCCACCACATTCCATCCATCCATCCATCCATCCATCCATCCATCCATCCATCCATCATCCACCCATCCATCATCCATCCATCCATCCATCCACCCACACCCACCCACTATTCCATCCATCCATCCGACCCTGTACGTATCTGAATGTGCGTGTCTGCTTGCACGTACAGTCGCGTGTGTGACTTGCTCTTTCTCAAATTCTCTTTATCCCCCGCCCCCCCTACCCCCAATTATTCGGTCTCCTCCAGCTCCTCCATTTCTTTTCCTCTCCCTTTTCTCCCTCCCCCATTTCTCGGCGTATTCGCTATCCACGTTTCGCTCTCTTCTCTTTCGCTGTCGTGTCGTTTTCCCCCAAACCCGATTCAGGTTAGTCAACCTTTGCAGCGACCTTCACAAGGTAAGACACTTTTGTAGCTCGTCTCCCTTCCCCCCCCCCCCCCCCTTCCTCCCTCTCTCACTCACTCTCCCTCCCTCCTGTCTCCCTCCCCCCCAGTCCCCTCTCCACCTGCCTCTCACTCTCCCTCTCCCCTCCCCCCCGTCCCCTCTCCACCTGCTCACTCACTCTCTCACTCACTCTCCCTCCCCCGTCCCCTCTCCATCTGCTCACTCACTCTCCCTCTCTCCCTCCCCCTCGCCCCATCTCCCCTCTCCCTAGCTCCTCCCCTCGTCCCTCCCTCTCTCACTCACTCTCCCTCCCCCCGTCCCCTCTCCACCTGCCTCTCAGACTGTGTCTCCCCCCCCTGGCCCTCTCCCTAGCTCCCCTCCTATCTTCTCTCACTCCTTCTCCCTCCCCTCGTCCCCTCCCTCTCTCACTTACTCTCCCTCCCCAGTCCCACCTTACGACCGCTATCGTTCCCCCTCCCCCGTCCCCTCTCCCCTCCCTCTCACAGTCGCTCCATCTTCACCTTAGTCCCCTGTCTCCCCCCTTCTCCCCTCTCACTCTCCCTCCCTCCTCTCTCTCACTCTCCCTCCCCCAGTCCCCTGTCCGTTATCATTCACACTGGTTCTTCTTCCCCCGTCCCCTTGTCCCCTCCCCTCCCTCTCCCTCTCTCATTCATCTCTCTCTCGTCCCCTGGTCCCTCGCTCTTCCCTCTTCCCTCTCCCTTGACCCCTCTCTCACTTCCTTTACCCCGTCCCCTGCCCCCTCTCCCTTTCCAACTCCCTCCCCCCCTCTCTCTCTCTCTCTCTCTCTCTCTCTCTCTCTCGCTCTCTCTTCTCTCTCTCTCTCTCTCTCTCTCTCTCTCTCTCTCTCTCTCTCTCTCTCATCTCTTCTTTCTCATCTCTCTCTCTCTCTCTCTCTCTAAAACTCATTCTGTTATACGTAATTCTCGCCTGCTGTCTTGCCTCACTCCCCTCCTCTACTCTTTCTCAATTCCCAGTTATTCCTTTATTCACTCCCTCCCTCCCTCTCTCCTTCTCTCATCTCTTTTAACTTCTCTATTTTCCTCCACACTTCTCCTCCCTCTCTTTCTCCCACACCCTTCTCTTTCTCCTCCACACTCCTTTCTCTCTATCCTGGCATATAATACTTGCCTTATCTTTTTTTTTCCCACTCCCTCCCTCCCTCCCTTTCCATCCCTCTCTCTCTCCCATATCTACCCCCCTCTCTCTCTCCCTCCCTCCACATCTCTCTCCCTCCCACATTCTCCCCTCCCTCCTCCCTCCCTCCCCCCTCCCCTTCTCCCTCCCACATCTCCTCTTCTCTCTCTCCCACTTCTCTCCCTTCCCTCTTCCCTCCCACTTCTCTTTCCCTCTCCTCCCACATTCTCCCTCCCTCTCTCCCTCTCTCCCCTTCTCTTTCCCCCCCTCCAAACATTCTCCCCTCCCTTCCTCCCACATCCTCCCCTTCCTTCTCCCACATTCCCCTTCCTCCTCCACATTCTCCCTCCCTTCCTCCAACATTCCTCCCTACCTCCTTCCCTCCCTCCTCTATTCTCCCCTCTCTCCCTCCCTCTAACATTCTCCTCTCCTCCTTCCCTCCCTCCTCCCCCTCCTATTCTCCTTCCCTCCCCTCCCTCCCACATTATCCCCCTCTCTCCTTCCCTCCCTACCTCCCACATTCCTCCCTCCCTCCACCTCCCACATTCTCCCCTTCCTCCCCTTCCACATTCCTCCACCTCCCCTCTCCCTTCCTCCTTCACATTCTCCCCCTCCCTCCTTCCCTTCCTTCTTTTCCACATTCCCCCTTCTACCCTCCTCCAACATTCTCCCTCCTCCTCTCCCCTAACATCCTCTCCCCTCCCTCCCTCCCTCCCTCCCTGCAACATTCTCCTCTCCCCTCCCTCCTCCCACATTCTCCCTCTCTCTCCTCCTCCTACCTCCCACATTCTCCCCTCTCCCCCTCCCACATTCTCCCTTCCTCCCACATTCTCCCCTTCCTCCCCCATTCTCCCTCCCTCCTCTTTCCCCACATTCTCCCCTCCCTCCTTCCCTTCCTTCTTTCCACATTCACCCCTCTCTACTTCCCTCCCTACCTCCCACATTCTCCCCTCCTCCCTCCCACATTCTCTCTCCGTCTCTCTCTCCCACATTCTCCCCTCCCTCCCTCCCTCCCCCATTCTCTCCTTCGTCTCTCTCCTCCCACATTCTCCCTCCCTCCCTCCCTCCCACATTCTCCCCTCCCTCCCTCCCTCCCACATTCTCTTCTCTCCTCTCTCTCTCTCTCACATTCTCCCCTCCCTCTCTCTCTCCCACACCCGTTGCGTGGGAGTGAAGCTTACGGCCAAGTAAATGAAAACAAAAAGCGTTCGAACTTATTACTAAGGTAACAGTGCATTTTAACTGTTGTTTGAATATCTAAGATAATTCTATTTCCATTTTCGTTGTTTTTATTTTATTAGTTTGGATACTATTGCTGATGTTCTTAGGCGGTGCGTCCAGCCAGTGAGCTTTGCCAGGGTCAGTAACTCTACCAGAATTTGAAAGTTGATTTTAACGAGTCTTCATGTTTGATGTCCTTCTTGAGGGGGCAAATTAAAGTTTATTTGAGCAATGTAACTCGGCTTTATTACGGTCTTAATTATGGATTGCATTTCTTTCTTCGGTGGCGTAATAACGTAGGAGGAGGAGGAGGAGGAAGAGGGGAAGAGGAGAAATATCTGGAAATAATGGAAAAGGACGAGAGAAGCTGGCAATCGATCGGTCAGTGATTCGCGCATTTCTCATCCAGCACATTTATATTCTCTTAATACTGAATTTCTACCCTTCTCAAATATTCTTTTCTTTCTTTACTCGTACATTCTTTTACCTTTTTTTTATTCGTCACACAAAAAGGAAAAAAAAAAGATAAAAGACAAGTAGATTAAATCTGATCTAGAGAGAATGGTGAGACTTTGTCCCCGGCGGTTTATATGTCTTCATGACTGACTGGTCTCGCTGGAAAGAAAAATGGATGTGAACTGTGTCGGATCCACGATTTTTTTCCTTCTTCTTTATTCTTTACTTCCAAGTTTCTGTTACTACCAAAATTACTAGGATTTATTACGAAAACTGGTGTTCCAACAAATTACTGTCTTTTTCTTTTCCATTGATAGTAATACCGGCTTTGTTTAAACAAGTAAATGCAAAACAAGTTTGTATCATAGAGACGCATAGCTGGATCCAAGTCAAATGAGCAGTTACTTGCAGATATGAAAATTACGTTTTCGACAAGAAAAAAATTATACAAATCAGTGGTGTAAATACAATTTTTCTCTGATGTTGGAATTGCTAACCGGGCGCAATGATGTCTAAATTATAACATTCTTAGTTATACACAGATTTGTATACATAATATACACAAACACACACACACACACACACACACACAGACACACACACACACACACAGATATATATATATATATATATATATATATATATATATATATATATATATATATATATATATATATATATATATATATATATATATATATATATATATTATATATATATATATATATATATATATATATATATATATATATATATATGTATACATATATATATATATATATGTGTGTGTGTGTGTGTGTGTGTGTGTGTGTGTGTGTGTAACATATATATGTATATATATATATATATATATATATATATATATATATATATATATATATATATATATATACATATACATACATGTATGTATTTATACATGAATATATATATATATATATATATATATATATATATATATATATATATATATATATATATATATATATATATATATATATATATATATATATATATATATATATATATATGTATATACACATGTA